CAGTTGTCGTTTCGTACCTGCGCTCAGCGCCTGCGAGGTAGGCAACAAATTGCCAGCAGTGCATGCGTGTACTGCAGGGTGGCCTACACTGAGTCTCGCAGGCGCCAAGCTCCCGAAAAATGTGCCCAATGAATTTGAAAAAAAAGGACGTGCTTTCTGGATGACCCGGGCGTCATTTCGGGGCAATTTCTTCTGGTGTAACCCCCGTGGGTACATGGGTTATGAGGGGAAAACTGCCACCGTATTTAAGACGGCACCACTCAAACCCCTAAGTTATTATCGTTTGGCGAACGTTAAGCGACAGTTGTATCGTAGTCAGTATTTCACGCATTCACGTCATCTCACTGTATTGACCTTGTGTGCCTTTGTTTTTGTTTGCATGTGAGTGCCGTTACGTCGTTGGAGGAGTGTGTGCTGTACCTCTGCCTCTGATGCACTTGCCTGCCTGCCTTTGCTGCACTTCCCCACCCGATGTCAACTTCCGCAGCTTATGCCGTGTACTGTCTCGATAGCGCCTGAAGCATCTTGTCGCCGTTTCTTGCTATGCACGCGTCTTGGTCTTTCCTTCTCTGATGTGCACTCTATTTGAAATACAGGCTTGCTTTTTCATTAACTCTACCAATAAGATATTGTTTTTTTTTTCTTCTTAATTACCCCTTTACCCAAGCTGCTGGACGGAGTGCAGAGCTGAGCATTCAGGTAAGTCCAGCAGGAAGATACAGTGTGCTTATCAAGCGCTGCCCCTGGTTTAAGGTGGGGAGGGGAAGGGAGATAGATACTTCTATTGCACATATTTTTGTTTTATGATGCAGGTCTTTTGCATAGTGGGAGTGCGCCAAAACAGAATAATTCCTCTCATGTGGGCCTTGATGGAGTCAAGGACAACCGAAGCTTACATTGCAGTACTAAGGTTGCTTCAACATCACCTTGGACCTAACAACCACCTTAGGCGATTAATCATGGATTTTGAGCCAGCTGGAATGCTGTGGAGACTGTTTTCAACTGTCGCATCCAAGGCTGTATTTGACATGCAATTCGAGTAAGTCTTGAACCTACTTCAGTTATCATTATTTCAATAATAGATTTAACAGCACTGTCCCTCCAATGGCAATGAAAGTACTACCTTTTGTGGCAATGACCATGCAATGGCAATAAGACAAAAGTAAGACCTTTCCAGTGGCAATGATGGTCCATTGCCAGCCCAAAGGCAATATTCATTGCCAATTTTGGCAATGAGTGGATGTCAGTTTGTGAACTTTCTCTAAGTTATTGGCTATTCAGTCATTGCCATATTGTGGCGTTGAGCGTTCATTGCCAAAGTGTCGGCAGTGAAGGTTCACTGCCAATATGTCGGCAGTGACGGTTCACTGCCAAACAGTCGGCTATGATCGTTCAATACCAAAAGGTCGGTAATAATTTAATGCCAAAATGAGGCAAACAATGAAAAAAAGAATTAATTTTAAGTTACTTTCAGAACATTGCCAGTGGATTCCTTTCATACGTAGCTGACAGGGGACTCATGGAACCTGTCAGAAGAATAATTCGAATGACCATGGCTCTTCCTCTGCTACCACAACATCTCATGCGCAGAGGTCTCATCATAATCGCCCAAGAAGCCATGGAAGAGGGAAACTTCATTTATGCTATGGTGCGTCCATATTTACAAGACATTTACAGACTATGGATAAGATCTGATAGAAGAGTTAGTCGGCTATGTTTATTTGGTTCCTCACAGAAGACAAATAATGCTTGTGAGTCGGGGGCAACCCGACATGTCCACGGTAAATACGTCCACAACAGTTTGGACGTAAATGAAGCGCTTTGCAAAAATATGTCCAATGATTTGGACGTAAATTAATGCCTGCGATTGTTACGTCCACAGTGTGGATGTACTTACGATCCGTGTAAGGCTGGCGAAAATAACTCCACAAAATCTGGCGCTTATTGTCGCCTCTGTGATTTACACATCTTCAGGCATGACAAAAGGAACCACAGAGTAAACGCATGCCTGTATGTCTGTTTCTCCTCTGCATTGATAAACTAAGTTATCAACTGTTCAACACTTTTGAAGTGTGCAACAGAGTTGTTCTGCTCTTGCAAGTGTAGCGCGCGACATGAGCGGCAATATGCACTGAGCCCAAACCGGGAATGGACCCCACGGTAACTCTATGAATGTCTTATGACTTTATCAAAGGTGGGAATGTCCTACGCTTAGAGCGTAGTCCTAGAGTTCCAGCCTAGTCCTAGAGTAGGACCAGCTTGATCTACACTCGGATGTGTAGGACTTACCCTCCACTCTTGCAGCTAGATTGTCCGACCTATTTTTCTCCGACCTGGCGATTTTTCCAAAATCCCCAAAAGTGCTGTCCGACCTAGGTTTTGTCCGACCTAATTTTTTCCGACCTCATCGATATGCTGAAATTTTGGAAAATGTGGCTCCTGCAGTTATACTTTACCGCACGTTTGGTTTTCCTACCCCAGGGGGCGCCTAACGGGCATTGCAGGTAGGCAACACGCACGCCTGCGTGCGGTACAGCATAACCACGACGACTGGCGGTTCGCCTACCCCAGGTGGCCTTACGGGCAGTGCGGCAGTGTAGCACTAAGCTTTAGACGTGAAGTATAACTGCAGGAGCCACATTTTCCAAAATTTCAGCATATCGATGAGGTCGGAAAAAATTAGGTCGGACAAAACCTAGGTCGGACAGCACTTTTGGGGATTTTGGAAACACCCGTATTTTCAGAGTGATCACTCTCGAACAGAACGTCATACGTGTGGATATAAATGAGAAAAGACAAATGAAAACAGATTTTGTGGAGCTATTTTCACCAGTCCCACACGGCTCGTAAGTACATCCACACTGAGGACGTAACAAACGCATCTGTTAATTTACGTCCAAATCATTGGATGTAAACCTGTGGACGTGATTTCACTTCGCGCACACTCTGTGGACGGATTTACTGTGGACGTGTCGGTCCCGCCAAGTCCTACACATCCGATTGTAGATCAAGCTAGTCCTACTCAGAACTGTAGGACTACGCTCTAAGCGTAGGACATTCCCACCCTTGATAAAGTCATAGAATTACCGTGGGGTACATTCCCGGTTTGGGCTCGGTGCATATTGCCGCTCATGTAGCGCGCTACAAGAGCAGAACAACTCTGTTGCACACTTCAAAAGTGTTGAACAGTTGGTAACTTAGTTTATCAATGCAGAGGAGAAACAGAGATACAGCCATGCGTTTACTCTTTGGTTCCTTTTGTCATTCCTGAGGATGTGTAAATCACAGAGGCGACAATAAGCGCCAGATTATGTGGAGTTATTTTTGCCAGCCTTACATGGATCGTAAGTACATCCACAATGTGGACGTAACAATCGCAGGCGTTAATTTACGTCCAAATCATTGGACATATTTTTGCAAAGCGCTTCATTTACGTCCAAACTGTTGTGGACGTATTTACCGTGGACATGTCGGGTTGCCCCCATTTTTTTGTTTTAAGATATTCTTGGATACATGAATGATCGTTTTCTAGTTGGCAGTTTATGGAAATTATGTAGCTCCATTCTATGCCCTAACACCTGCTTCTTAAATTGACATGTTCTGTAGGGTGGAGTGAAAATCTGGGATCACAAAAGTGGCCGTGAAAAAAAGAACTTCAAGATACTCTAAGATAAGCTGCAATATCCGTTTTTTTCCGAACGGCAACCCTTCTAGCCTCGGGAAGGGCCTAAAGTTGGGTCTTGAGGCCAAAAACGACCCTTTTTGACCCCTAGAGGACCCCCTTAGACTTTTCCGGGAAACGGCTATCTCCCTTTTGGTGCGGAATATATCTGGGAACACACACCAGAAGTCGCTACGCTGTGCGACAAGGTCCTACGCTAAAAAAAATGGACATTTCTGTTCAAAAATGGCTGATTTTGACCCAAAATCGCGTTTTTGGGCCATATTTTCCAAACTGTTTGTCCCACAAGAATTTCATGATAATGAAAGCGTCTCGTCTCGGCGAGATGCATCCGGTCTCGCGGGAGTTTTTTTTTGTGTGGACTGGATCGACCGGAAATGCCCATAGTTTCTCCTGATACACTGATGTCTGAGACAAAAGCGCCCTATGAAGGCGTCTTGTCAAGCCCAGGTACACACTAGGATGTCTTTTGGACACCGGGAATGCCACGCAGCATCCGGTTAGGGCCGAATAAAACTCAGGTATGACTAAATTAAAAGTCAGTATACTAAAACAAAGCAAGGCATAAATTTGTATATATATTTATTTAATAACTGAAAAAAAACAAAAAAACAATACATAAATCTGCTAAAAGATTTATCTTCTGAGCGGTGGCTGCTGGGTGTTGTTTTCCTGAAACAGACAAGAAAACATCTCAAACGTTTAAGTTTTTTTAAAACAAAAGAAAATCTTTCTTTGTGTCTAGTTTAGGAAGTAATTTTCTGCTTTCTAAACGAGACTGTATAAACCCTTCCCTTGCAAGTTCACCACAAACGGCCGCTGAAGCTTCTGTGACGACCTTCACTCCTCTCTCGACGGCCTGTGTGTGACATGGAAGGTTGTAGAAGGAGGGTTGTACCTTGGAAATGGCTATCTGTCTAATATCTTCATCTGTGGCAAGGCGTAAAACCGGAGGCTCCGTTGGCTTTTCCGGCCATGAAATCATATTAGTATATGATGTAGCTGAATATTGGATTTTGGGCACACGGAACTTACGTTGCTCTCCTGAAAATAAAATGCACAATTAAATAATTGTTCAAAAACATTAGAGGCTGAAGGGAAGCTGAGTATTTCCAATACAATACCTGCAGTTTTGTCCACATTCCGCCTTCCCTCCGTTATGATTGACACCGCCGCCAGTCGAGTTTCTTCCTTTTCATCAAATAACATCCCTAGAAGCACGTTCTCATGGTGGGCAAAGAATGCGTTGGTCTGGATGACTTTGTTTATGACTTCAATATATGGCTGAGGCAGATACCTGTAAAAAGAAAGAAGTACGTTAGTATAAGTCCCGCAGAAATTGTTGCCATAGTGTTCTTTTGATTTTAAATAATACAAACCTTGTTCGCTCAATCGCTTTGAAAAAGTGACGTGCTCCGTCGGTACAAGAAGGCCTCTGCTTGACATCGAACCACTGTGGAACGTAGACTCTCATAACAAATGTCACCAGTGTCACTAACGCCTCTGTCGGGGCTTCTGTCGCCACGTAACACCGCATTAAGCGACAAGCAAGAGTAAGCCATCTTGCGTGGTTCAAGGGCCCGGGCTTTAAATCTGCGACCTCAGGAGGAACAGTACCGCTAGCTACCGCATGTGACATTTTCAGTAAGTACGTCTGGTCGGTGCTCAGGTCCGGAACACTGTAAAAATAATTAAACAATATTAGTTTAAAATTAAGTTCTAGGTCGATATAGAATATTAACGGATTTCAGTTTACCTTAGAGAGGGAAGTTCCACGGGAATAGCAGCAAAGTTTACGACGGGCAAAAGGTGGCAATCAGGTAACTGTCGACCGATGGGACCTTTGTAAGCCCGTGGACCATTGGTTGGGCCGTCAACAGATTCCATCATATGTTTCATTAGCAACTCGTTAAAATGAAGCAGACATACAAACCATTGCAGCGGCCGTTTTAATGTTACCTCAAGTAGGCGAATTACTCCTCCCCTGTGCCCGGTATTAACCGCCGTTCCGTCACATCCAATGCTGGATGTTTTTTCCAAACTTATATCTTTTGTTCTGAGATGACCCAATATGCTGTTTGATATCGAAGTGGAATGGCCTATATAAAAACGACAGACAGAAAAATATGTTAGAAGAGTCAATTGTAGTAAAAGGAATGAAAATTGCGTTAAGCTAAAAGGTTGTAAAATAAATCCATACTAACCGGAAGTAGGTGTTGAGTGACCAATAAACTTTGAGCCTGGTTCAGCAATTAGACATATATGTTCTTCTTTAACAGTTTTTCGTCGCCATCCATTCTCCGTTTTTTCAAACTTCATGGTCAAATCTTTTCGACCATCGAAGTATAGAGACTCCGGCTCTGAAACTCTGTTTTGCTCGAGCAATGTATTTCGCGCTCTGTCTCGTTCACGGCGGATCTTGCTTCTGTCAATGATATTATTAGTATCGTGCTCTTGAACAAGTCCGACATCGAGGAGCAGGGCAGAAGCTAAAGCAGCGGCGGCGCGGTCGCTGACACCGAACCTGGAGACATAAGATAATAATTATATTTCAACATTTACAAATATACTAAAAAAAGTGTTTTAATGTCAGATTTTAAAATAGTACCTGTCGCAAACTGTGGCGAAATGGAATAGGTCGAGACGATTTTGCTCCGCTTCAATATTCCCTGGCAATACAAATGTTGGATCTTCTTTGGCATTATCGGTGTTGTCTGCGTCATTCAAACCAACAGCATCATGGTTCGAGTTGTCCACAAGTATCTCTGGAAAAAAAAAACAAAAAACATACTAGTATTAATAAGTAATCAAATCTGCTAGAAGTTAAAACAATATCAGAACCAAATTTTATCACCTGTATCTGTAGCAACAGACGCTGTCTTGAAGTGCCGCGGAGTATATCGTTTACAGTCACATTTTGGTTTCTTGCATTTGCAGACCTGAATATCAAAAAGAGCGTTACAGCTTTCTAAAAATAAATCCCGCTTATCTTCGTAGCTTTTTTGATTTTTGGGTTTGATTCTGTGTAGTCTCACGATTTCTAGATACTCGCTTATGTATTTATCCAATATTCTAGTCATTTGTCTTTCACTAAGAAGTTCAATTCCAGGTTGAATTTGATTCCAAATAGAAATTACCTTAGGTAACACCAATTTGATAAGATCGTTTCGTTTCGGTTCAAACTTGTTCTTGGATTTTGCAGCATTATGAACAAAAAGGTAGCATCGCAATACTTGTCCTTTGGTAGGTGTGTCACTGTCAGGTAGAAGATCTTCTGGCCAGCCCAAAATTGGGCACAGAGATTTGCATCCCGCACGGGATGTTGACGCAGACATTGTATCAAATCAGAATAACTTATCGACTAATGTAGACCGTGCGGTCAGAAAAAAAAAAAAAGAATCTCGGGTACACTCGCCCCTGTGACAAACTTTCTGTCGTGAATGAATTAAACTAAAAATTAAGTAAAATGAAAAAGACTGTGATGGCTTTTAAAAAAGCCTTTTAAATGAATGGATAGTTCTGAGAAGAACTGTTTTAGAAGCGCGGAAGACGCTTTTTCTCAAAGAGAAATTCTCGGCACAATATTAAGCAGAGGACAGAGTAGAAACTCAATGGCACACAATATTCACACGTTCGCACGTATTCACGGGATAATCAACACCAGCGGGGATTATAACAACATTATATAGCTTTTTCAAAACAGAAGGGCATGCCAAGGTGACCTCAACTCGTACCATAAACGATAGCATTGTAAGTCTGAAACATAAATAAGGCATTATTTTTAAACATAAAATACTACTGCGGCACTGTGCCAAATTTTCCTTACCTTGTTTAACTGCAGCTGGCCCAACATCAAAATTTATCCGATTCCTTTCCTATTAGAAGTCGTCGGCATTGATATCATTCTTGCATATGAGTAAAGTCTTCTACTGGAAATCGTCATGAAATTCCAGATTACACTTTTGATTCCAGCGCGGCATTTCCGGTGTCCAGAAGACATCCAGTGTGTATCTGGTCTTGACAAAGACGCCTTCATAGGGCGCTTTTGTCTCAGAAATCAGTGTATCAGGAGAAACTATGGGCATTTCCGGTCGATCCAGTCCACACAAAAAAAAACTCTCGCGAGACCGGATGCACCTCGCTGAGACGAGACGATTTCATTCCCATGAAATTCTTGTGGGACAAACAGTTTGGAAAATATGGCCCAAAAACGCGATTTTGGGTCAAAATCAGCCATTTTTGAACAGAAATGTCCATTTTTTTTAGCGTAGGACCTTGTCGCACAGCGTAGCGACTTCTGGTGTGTGTTCCCAGATATATTCCGCACCAAAAGGGAGATAGCCGTTTCCCGGAAAAGTCTAAGGGGGTCCTCTAGGGGTCAAAGAGGGTCGTTTTTGGCCTCAAGACCCAACTTTAGGCCCTTCCCGAGGCTAGAAGGGTTGCCGTTCGGAAAAAACGGATATTGCAGCTTATCTTAGAGTATCTTGAAGTTCTTTTTTTCACGGCCACTTTTGTGATCCCAGATTTTCACTCCACCCTAATGTTCTGTGATCTCAGGCAATTTGCTTCTGAGTTATGTCATCAAACTTTCTTTCTTTTTAATCATGTGTTTGAAATTATTTCTTGACGTGTTTACTTTGTATTATTATGCATCAATCTGTTTAGTAATGTGATCTAAGGATACTTTACACAACAGTGATCATGTTTAATCATGTGTTATAACAATACTTTTTTATGTGTTTAACATATTTCCTGACATATTTTCTTGATTTGCTACTTTGCTTATGTGTACTTATCTTGTATCTTGTATGGACACAAATTGATCATTCTTTAAAGTAATTGTGTTCATTTTAATTTTTTCATGCACACTTCAAATTTTGTGTGTTAAAACAGTTAAAGAATTTAAGTGCTTGTGACATGTACCAGACTGAACAAGTCGTAAGAAATTTATCATAATCTGTCTTTGCAGTTACACTTTGTAAACTAAGGAAATATTTCTTAACCCTGTCAAACCCCCTTCCAAACATTTATCATATTAACCTGTCTTACCATTGTTATGCCCAAGTTTGCTCAGATCAATCTAAGTAGTTCGCCCTACTACATGGATTGATGTTGACGTGTGTTTTAGGCATTTGCATTTGAGTTATGTTATCAAACTTTCTTTCTTTTTAATCTTGTGTTTACAATTATTTCTTAACATGTTTACTTTTAGTTATTATGCAGCACTCTGTTTAGTAATGGTATCTAAGGATACTTTTTTTATGTGTTTCCATATTTTCTTGATTTGCTACTTTTATTTGGTGTACTTATTTAAAAATCTACAATTGTTCACATTTTCATTTTGTTTAGGTACACTTCAAAAATTTGTGGGTTCATACAAATAAAGAATTGAAGTGTGCAACAAGTTTTGAATTTGCAATGTTTTCATGGAACCTAAATCATACAGTTTGCAGACAAGGGTACTAGGAAGTTAAACATGTAAAAATAAGGTGAAACCATTTTGCATTTATTTCTTTATTTTTGGATAATGATGTCATCCTACATAAGTTTGGTTCTAATAACACATTGAAATGGACCAATTTTGACACACAATCTGAGGACAAAAGGTACAGACACAATGTGAGGACCAAGGCACAGACACAATAAAAGGACAGTATGAAGGTATAATACAATGGTTAAGTTCCAAGATATATCACTTCAGACTAAATTCGACGCGCACACTGAGAGAAATGTTTCGTTGCAGCGATCAAAAATTGTTCGATCAGTCCGGATTAGTCATGACCATCAAAATTTTGGTCGCAGCAACTAAACGTTTGGTTACAGCAACCAAAATTTCGGTGACAGCAACTAAAATTTTGATGCCTGTGACTAAGCCGGACTGACCGAACAAAATTTGGTCGTGGGTATCAAAATTTTGATGGCTGCAACGAAACATTTTTCTCAGTGCATCGCCTGGGCTCCAACGCGTCCGAGTCCAGC